GCTGGGCTTAGAGCCAATGAGAAGGCAGAACAGAAAAGCAATAAAGGCACAGGTTAGACAGAAAGAAGCTCTCTCTGGGTAAGCTACTGCGTGGTTGTAAGCTATGGCTAGTTGTGGCTATTCGCTATTTCTCTGATCTCTTCAGCTATTACCCCTGTATTTGGCTCTGTGTTTCTTATTTAATAAGACTGTTTAGAAATTCGTCTACAAAACCCAGTGGAAGGGAAGAGGGCAAGGAGTCATTTCTTCAAAGATTTGTTCCTAACCTCAATCATCGCCTGCTATTTGTCACATTTATGTTTGAAAGTGAAGAAACTCTCCTGAAAATAGGATACAGACCTACCGCAAATGACAGTCAGTTTACTGTAAGAAAGTAGGACCACTGTATTTCTATAATGCTCAAACAATGAGAATTATCTAGGGAAGAATTATATATCCCATTAGTCCACCACCCTCCATCCCAGAATACACAACCTGTGAAATCAAGCATCAACTATTCATTCTTTTCATCTGTCTGTGTGGATACAAGGTATGGAGTTTATTTGTATTGCTCCAAGTGATGAGAGATTTATAGAGGCAGAAAAATCCAATTTAATAGAAAAACCAAAGGTTCTTCCTTCTATGGGAGAAGCACTATTCAGCTCCAGGAACTGATGTCCTTTGTTCAACAAAACACTTCACTACTTCCTTTAGCTATGAAAGGCCAACTCTTCCAGCAACTTAACATAAATGCTGCTACTTGTGCAAAAGGATTGCTGAGTGTCACAATAAATCACATTTTACTGTCCTTCAGCAACACGTGAGACAGCTTTGGAGAGATGATCAGCCTGTGTGTGAAGACAGCCCAAAGAACGTAATCTGGAAAGGTCATGGACAGAAAGTATAAAGCTAAAGAGCAGGGCCTATCTGTGGAGGCCGGCTATAGCCACTCGCATATCTGATACAAAGAGCAGCTCCCCTGCCCATGCACTATGCTAACCAGATGCTTTTAAAAATAATATTTTAATGAATTCTTTGAGAATTCCATAAATACATTTGCTCATCTTCATCTATCCCCACTCCTTCCCCAGTTCCTCAAGGGTCCACCTCCAGTTTCCCTACCCTCTCCAAACTTGGATATCCTCTGTTTTGTTTTTGTTCAATAACCTGCTGAGTACAATTCACACTGCAAATATACTCCTGAATGTGGAGCCATCCACGGGAACATGGTCAACTTACCAAGGGCCTCATCCTTAAAGAGAACTGCGTCTCCTTCCAGAAGTCATCAGCTGCCAACAGCACTTCAGTCAGTGGTAGGAAATCCTGGGCCCCTCCCGCTTTTGTGCTGAAATAGTGACTGGCTTGGGCCTTATTCAGTTCTTAGTAACTGAAGAAGTAGCCAAAGCCGCTGTGAATTCAGGGTGCAGTGTTCCTGTCGTGTCAGCTGTCTCTTTATATCCCACATTGGAGCCTCAGAATGAAAATAACACGCAACTTCAGATCATGCACCAGCCTCACATTTCATTCTGTTTACACTAGCCTCTCAAATTTACCTTTTGTTGGCATTAATTTATGCCACTAGTGCTTTCTTGTGCAAATTACCGAGCTACTGTATTTGATTTGCTTGGATTTTGAAGAAAAGATGGGATTGCAGAAAAACAGACAACAGCAATAGAAAGTTAGGATACTGAGACAGGCCCTTAAGCAGAAAGAGGAGGAGTCATGATTAATGACCCCTGAGTAACATTGCTTCAGAATAAATATCTGGGATACTTGAGGCTGTGACAAGCAAGACCACTTAAAGGCACATCTTCTACTTGTTAATAGAATAAAAGGATTATAGTAGTTAGGGTATGATTTATTTCCATTTAGCTATGCTTGGCTGAACAACAAAACAATATAGCTTCATGTTTAATTAAAAAAGATAATTCATATGAGTACAGGAATCTGAGAAAGCATGTGAACAGCACTGCACATTTATTGTCCACTATTCACAGAAGGTAGATGTTAAGTTCTAAGTCCTTCCCGCTGGGATCACAAGTAAGTCTGGAGCACACAATAGAACTGGGAGAAGCTTGAGCTGGCAGAGGCCTCAGTGAGCACACAATCCAATTCTTTCAATTGATAGATGAGGAGACTGAAACTCAAGGTGAGAAATTGAGTGGATTGAGGTCACAGTCCAGTTGCCTTGCACAGAAAAGGAGCTAGGATTTCTCAGCTCCAAAGCAACACTTCTATTAGGCGGTGTAGTTAATCCATCAAAGAGAAACAAAAGAAAATAAAATTTAAGAATTCAGCAATGTGTTAAATAATAAAAACAGTTGCCTGTTCTTGCCCGGTGTTCAATTGCTATATTAACTTGCCCCTACATTTTTGTAACGTTTCATATTTCATGTATTCATTATACTGTTTCTGCTCAGATTTTAAAATCTAGGTGAAATTGTGTTCTCCTTTTCAAAAAGGTATTTCTACACGTTATAGGTGGCCATTCTTTATGCCCATCACCACTTACAAAAGACCTCTAACCTTCCTCTGCTCTTTCGTTGCATGAAGGGAATGAAGCACTTTTCATGCGCGCTGGCTGAAGTTCTTTATGATGTCAGAGATAATTGTTTTGGCCTCGGGGAAAGAATGTGCTCTCTGCTGCAAATGATCGCGGCAGAATCATCTCAGTAAAAAATGAATGAGACATGAGGTTTTAGATTCTTTTATCTTATCAATTATTGAAGAAACAAACTTTCCTCAGAACAAGGAGAATCCTCAAATTACCAAGAAAAACAATAACAAGGAATGAATTTGTGGGCATAGTAAAAAGGTTAGCAGGCATCAAGCTCTTTAATAACTGAGACAGGCGAAGTTTTACCTACATTTACAGTTTATGAGGTGAAATTGTTTCCGGTTTTAAAATGTAAAAGGGAAATTGAATTTTATTACCAGAGGGAAAAGCTGAGTTAAGCCTATGACTTATGAATTCCACATTAATTTCTTTCTAGAGAAAAATAAATGTTTGGCTGTTATAACAGTGAGAATAACTAAAAGTAACACATAGAATCCAAAAGATATAAATCAGTTGTTTAGTACAGTACATTCATATTCAAAGGTAAGAAATAAACCACTGTGTTCATTTTAAAAAGCACTATTTTCAATAATCCATTTCTAAACATTAGTTTGGCTTATCATTTATTTTCTGGATGAGCACCAAAAAAGGGGATCATTTTCCCCATTGTCAGGACAGAAAACAATAAAGCTGTCTATCTGATTATTTTTGGGTCATTTTCTTTTTTTTTTCCATATTAGAAATTAAAGGGAATGAAAGAAAACAACTACTTTGGCACTGCTCACACTATTATCATTTACATGATGATTTTCTAAGTTTCTAAAGGCTTAAAAGTCTTACTCTTGCATTAAGAATACCTGGTATTTAAGCCATATGTTTTGGCTCAAACCTGCAAATATCAGCATGGAGGCAGGAGGATCTATGTAAGTTTAAGGCAAACTCTGACACCATAGCCAATTTCAGGCCATCCCTGCCTACATAGTAAGACTTTGTCTCAAAAAGTTAAAACAAGACAAAAATACTTGATATTTACAGCTTACATGCTCTGCAGAAGCACAGCTTGTTGCAGGTCTATAATAAACTAACCTTATTAATATATATATATATAATGTATATATTAATATATTATGTATATATATTAATATATATGTGTGTGTGTATATTTGTGTGTGTATTTAGATAGCGTGGAAATAAACATAAGAACTAACATTTATTAATCAATAATTTCATATGAAGATACAGTGATACCCTCTTGTTTTCATGATGTTTACTTTCTATAACAATCTTATCAAAAAATAAAATAAGAATCTCAACTACGGACGAGGAAACCGGGATTTCAGAGCATCAATCTTTAGGTTACCTGCCTTCACAAATTCCTTCACAAACCTTAGCTGGTTCACAGCTTTTGAGGCAAGTAGATTAGCATAATAGGTATTCTGAAAACAACATTCCATCAGTGGCTACATTGCTAAATAGTGAGAAAATCCCAAGAGGAAGATTTGGATTTGGCTACGGTTTTCTTGTGGTTTTTTTCATTTGTTTTAGGGGTCTCAGTAGGAACTTTGCAGTGAGTGAGAAAAAGGGATTGCTCTCTTATCTCTCTTATACCAAATGCTGGATAAATAGGCCTGTGGGTAGATAGTTAAGAAATGGGGATAGAGATAGAGAAGTAAAAAATAGATGCATACATAGATAATAGATGGATAGATAGATGATAGGCAGATTAGATAGAGAGATATGTGGGAGCCCACAAAGATTCCAACTTGTGGTTTGACTCAAGGTCAGAGAGTCAAAGTTTATGTTGCTCTCCAAGGCTGCATAATAGGGTGCAAAAGCATGGTTACTAGCTGTTTTGTACTTCAAGGCCTAACTCACTCTCCTCTTCAAAGGACCCTTCTATAGGTCAGGGCTGAACCCCAACACTATCCTCCAGCAGAGGTAGATGATAGATAGATAGATAGATAGATAGATAGATAGATAGATAGATAGATAGATAGATAGATAGATGATAGATTATAGGTAGTTAGAATGTAGAGCAGATGGGTCCCTAATGTTGTAGTAGTATAGAGCAAATACCTAAGGCAAACATCTCAGATCTGATATGATCATTCTAGAACATAAAAAATAGATGGAATAACAAATACTCAACATCTTGACCTTGAATATTAATGTTGAGATACTTATTAAAGTTTGATACAAATTCATTTATTTATGAAAGAAAATCTTCAATATCTTGTATCATTACTGATGAAAGTCATAATCCCATAATCAACATGAAGTGGGAGAATATGGAGCATCAATTTGTACTATGCCTTTCATAAATGAGAACTATGACACTGTTTTAAATGGTAAGATGAGAGGTACAATATAAACAAAAGTTTAAAGTGAAACTTATTATATCTGCTATTCAAATAATTGGAAATAGTCAATTACAAGAAAAACTTTTCTTTTTTTGAACACAAAGGACCTCAGTAAAGGAATCAACTCCCCTGATAAAAGGATCCTTCTGTTTTCGTTAACAACTATTGGCAGCAAGGTAATGCAATAGCCAAGCTCAGATTTTAGAGGTAGGTTTCTGCCTTCTTCTTTCTTTTGAACAAAGAAAATTAAAGCCATAATTAATCATTGGAAACCCATCTGATATAGTAAATAATAACCATAACCAATGAAAAATGACAATAAAGATGAAAAGAAAATGCATACTTACTTTTGGGGAATATTGATTCCAAGACCTCTCAACACCCAAAATGCTTTTAGTTTTATCAAGATAGGGACTGAAATCTATGTTACGGTTTCAGAAATTTTCATTTCATGCATATTACACTGCTGGTTGGTTTTTTTTTTTTTTTTTTTTTTTTTTTTGTAACTACTGAGCATGTAGAATGTGCCACTTATAATAAGGCGTTGTTCAAGTGGAAAATAATGAGTCTCGTTTATTTACTTTTAAATTAAGTAATCAGTTTATGTTTATGTGTTGTTTGCCTAACTTGCATATCTATATACCACATGCATGCCCTATGTCTGTGAAGGCCAAAAGAGGGTATCAGTGTCCCTGGAACTGGAGTTCAAGATGATTGTGAGTCACCACCTGGATGATAAGAATCAAACTTGTGTTCTCTCGGAGAGAAGCCATTGTTTTGAACCTCTGGGCCATCTCCATATCCCATAATCCTTATTCATTTAAATATTCACAGGTGTTCAATTTCAATTAGTCCTTCCAAACATTTTAGACTCTAAGAATTTGCTGTACCAAAACAAGAAAACTTCACTATTCCATGGAGCTTACACTTTAGTTAGCAGAAGAAAGATAAAAACTAGATGAGTATATGAAAAATAAATCGTGTCTAACATTCTATAGGAAATAAGAATTCCATTGGTGGAAGAGGCGATGGAAGAAGGAGAATGCAAGCAGGCTAGAGACACAGTCTGATTTCTATAAACCATCTGCCTTAGTGAGCTTTAACAGGACTGCAGGAAGCAAGATTCCCACGAATCTCTATGCATGTTTTGCTTCATGGGATAAGCAGTACTCTTCACAGTAGCCCATGTATGAAGTAAATATTGATACTAGTGACATCCCTGTTACAGAGCTAAAAATTACAGTAGAGTTGAAATAAATGACTTAAGGTCATTAATACGAGCTAATCTCTGGATTCAAACCTACACATAGCTTATATCACTACATTTACTATTTCCATGAATTGTATATTCTATGAATAAACTAAGTGTCCGTTTAGGAGAACTGGATAACCTTAGCACCATTTTCTACAACATAAACTTCAGAAATAAGAGGGCAGCTAAACAGTACCAAAAGAAGAAGGTGATTACTGTAACTTTTTGAGCTTGTGGTGGGAGATGAGAAGTGTGATTTTTCCAGATATAAAACTTTGCTCTAAATTCCACACTATTCATATTTCATCAGAAAGAGGCAACACAACAATCACGGTGTGCCAGGGCAAGTCATGTAACTGATGAACTGGGAATAACAGTGGAGGTGGTATTAAAGGGGAAGTTGGGACGAAATGGCGTCCACAAACATTCCCAGATGGTAAAACAGTCAGGCTGATACTTAAAGAAAGAAAACAAAGTCCTTAGGCTAAGAACAGCTTGTAAAAATGGATGAAAAAAAATATATTTGAAAGGGTGGAAATATGTTCCATCTGGGGCGAGGCTGGAAGCACAGAGTGATTACATAGGAAAGGTAGGGTGGGAACAGCTGGAGAGTTATTTACAAGTCAGAGGCAGGGGAGTGGCAAGAGATGATTTGCACTTGTGAAGCAGCCACTGCACTCAGTTTGAAGGATGTGTTGGAACAGGAGTGGGAGGCAAAGCAAAGAGAAGGTTTCAGTGATTATTAGTACTTGGGGATTTAAGAGCAACTGTGAAGACACGGAGAAAGAGACAAAATCCAAACAAGCAAAAATACCCTGAATTTCTATTTCAGAGTTTAGCACAACATTTTATTCTTGGTATAGCTTGTGTCCAAAAAAAAAATCTTAAATTCTCAAAATTTTATCAGCTAAAAGCAAAAATAATATTTACCAGTACTCTGTGAACAGATATCAAACTCTTCTACCAAATTATTATGTGTAAGAGAATCAAACCCTTCAATTTGAAAGAGTTAACATGTAAAAATTTTGTACGTATTTGTTCTGACAATTGTTTTAAATGTCTTTAAACACTCAAATACTTCAAATTATTTCTGAATAAAGGTAGACATAGCTATATAAACAAGTAAAAGGTAAGTAAGCACTTCATGCATGTTTTACCAGAAAGTATAAACTATATGACCCCTTATTTTGGAGCAAATACAAAATAATAATAATACATGCATCTATTGTGGTTGTTGTTTTTTTACTCTTTACTCTTTGTGGGGCCCAACACCCAGCTTCCAAATAAATACACATAGAATCTTACTTGTTATGAATGCCTGGACTTAGCTTGGCTTGTTTCTAGCCAGCTTTTCTTAAATTATCCCATCTACCTTTTGTCTCTTGGATTTTACCTTTCTCTATTCTATTCTATATACCATCTTTACTTCTTACTCCATGTCTTGCTGTGTGGCTGGATGGCTGGGCTGTGGAGTCCTCCTCTCCTTCTTTCACTCCCTGATCTCTCCCCAGATTTCTCCTCCTATTGATTCTCTCTGGCTGCCAGCCCTGCCTGTCCTTTCTCCTGCCCTGCTATTGGCCATTCACCTCTTGACTAGTCTACTCAGATGTTTTAGGCAGGCTAAAGTAACGCAGCTTCACAGAGTTAAACAAAAGGAACATAAAAGAATGCAACACATCTTTGCATCATTAAACAAACTTCCGCAGCATAAACAAATGTAACAAACCATCAAGTAATATTCCACAAGAGTTTATATATTTACTATTTCTATTAAAACTGCTGTTTTAGAGTGAGGATATGACTCTGTGGTTAAAGCACTTGCCATACCTGCATGAGGATCAGATTGTGTATCCCCAGAGTACATGAAAATAACAGATGGGCAAACCGTTCAGCCTAATTCTAGAGATCAAAGCACAAAGGCAGTGGATCCTCAAGCCAATCTGGCTTATCTGAATAGATGTATCAACAAAGTCTGAGTTCAATTGAGAGGTCATGCCTCAGTGAATAAGGTGAAGAGTAACTGAGAAAGACTTCCACATCAACCTCAGGCCTCTGTAATCAAACACACATGCACATAAGTACACAGTTGGGTAAGTGTACAGAAGTATACCCACACACACACACCAACATATACATGCATATATGTACATATGTGTGCACACTCTACAGATATATACACAAAAAAAGAAAAATAAATGCTATTGACTGCTTTAATAAACTGAAAGTTTGGCTTTTTAAATGAATATACATGCAAAAATACCTCCTAAAGTTCTTAAGGATGTTAGCAGTGATCACTGTTAGTTTGAATGGATTTAGAATCAACTAAAAATGCATGCTTCTTTGGACATCTAGGATGTTTCTGGAGAGGTGTACCTAAGGAAGGAAGACCCTCCTCTTGAATGTAGGTTGGTACATCCCTTGGGCTACAGTCTCAGAGAGATCAAAGAGGAAAAATAGAGAGAACATGATATCAGCATCCATCTCCTGATTCCTGAGTACAAAATCCAGGAACAGCAGTCATTGTAGAATGTATCTCCATTTCCTTAACTCCTTAATGGTCAGGATTTTGGTTACAGCAATGAGAAAAGAAACTAATACAAGGGTTCTATCTACTTCAGTTTTCAAAGCATCCCCAAAATTACTCTTAATTAAAATTCTGTTCATTTGGTTATTTGATAGAGTAGTTATTTATAATTTAGCATGGAGTAACTTACTTAATATAACTCTTTATATTTCTTTTCTGGTATCTGAAATATCATATATATATATATATATATTATATATACATACATACACACATATACATACTGCAGAGACTTTTGGCTTCTCAAGTGTTAACAATGAGACATTTGAGAGCTTTGTTTTAAACATGGCAAGTATACCACCTACTCAAATGGTCAGGGAACATAATGGAAGGGGGTCATAAAGACTCTAAGAATCAATGACAGGGACAAGTCTGTGTAATCTCTTCTGGCATGACACAGCTTTCAATCACAATCTTAGAGGAATTAGGTTTCCTGTACTGGATCTGAACAAGACTAGGCACTTCATTCGGTAAGCATGGACAAGGAATGACTTAAGAGACCATACTCCCAACTCATGAACTATGGGCTACTGGTACATCCTGGGTGAGAGACAACCATTGTCTTCATTCATTTCCCCACAGGTGAGATCATCATCTCAAATGAATAGTTTAAAATTCATCATCACAGTAGACCCCTGGTTGAAATCAATCAGTCACAAGACAAAATATCAAATCATCAGTGCAAGGAAAGGTGATGTAAAGAGGAGAGGAAGTGGACGAATATGCGGCAGTGGTATAGAAAATTGGAGTAAGAAAAATCCAAATGAATATGAATTTAATGCATAATCATATATAATTCATATATATACATATATTTCAAGAAAATTGATAACGATTTTCTTCTTCTTTAAGATTAAAAAAAAGTTAAAGCTTTTGGAAGAATATTAGGGTGAGTGAGGATAGTGTAAGAATTTGATATGTTGAATAACTACGAAAGAAAGAAAATTGGCTCCCTCAGAATCAAAACTCAGGTAATATTGATTTGCCTAAAGTTAATATGGACTGAGTTTGGCTCCCTGGCTTTTTTTTTTCTCCTCTATGCCTACAATTTCATGTCATTTCAATTTCATTGAAGATTTGTAAACATATTTAAACCAAAATGACTCACATCATCTAATTTACCCCAAAATGAAAAGTAGTCATACTCAGAAAAAAAATCCCCAGATGTAAAAATGGAAATCAGCCCTGTCAAGTACATTACCAGCTACTATAAAATGCAACCAACAGACTACCTGCAGAGCTTTGCCAATCAGGACTCCTTGAAAACCAGTAAAAATAAAGGTGGTCCATATGTCTGTGGGCATTCATTAGATCAGAAGCAGCACTAGTTTTTCTGTTAGGCTGTGGAATTAGGCTGTGGAACTGCAAATT